AAAAAAAAAAAACCACTAAAAGTATCTCAGAATTGAATAATATCCAAATATTTAATATCAACTCATTTTACAATACCTGCATTCACAGTAGGCAAAAGAAATCTAACTTTGAGAGTTCTCAAAAGTCTTAAAACACCATACTTGACAGGTGCTTTAAAAGTCTGGTAAACAGCCGGTGGATCACACCTGTAATCCTAGCTATTCAGAAGGCTGAGATCTGAGGATTGTGGTTTAAAGCCACCCTAGGTAGGAAAATCCTTGAGGCTCTTATCTCCAATTAACCATCAGAAAACTGGAAATGGCGCTGTGGCTCAAATGGTAGATCATTTGCCTTGAGCTGAAGAGCTCAGGGATAGTGCCAAGGCCCAGAGTTCAAGTCCCACAACCAAAAAAAAAAAAAAAAAAAAGTGTGGTAAGCAGCACTTTTGAGTTTTAACTGAAGTTCATAAATTTTAAGTAAATTTAAGATTATTTCAACTATCTTAGGTTCACAAACTACAATAATAAGCAGTGTTTATATCACATTGAGTTTGCAAGTTATTTTCACTTAGCCCTCCAAAGCCCCACTACTTGTATGCTAAAAGTTGGGTAACATTATTGTTATGCCTCCAAGGCAAAGTTTCAAGGTTAGGGATGCAGATATATTTATTTTTTCAAAGAGAGTTACCCTAGAGGCAGTGGCTCATTCATGCCTATAATCCTAGCTACTTAGGAGACTGAATTCTGAGGATTGAGATTCAAAGCCAGCCTGGGCAGGAAAGCCATGAGACTTATCTTCAACTAACCAGCAAAAAAAGCTGGAAGTGAAGCTGTGGCTCAAGTGGTAGAGTGCTAGTCTTGAGCAAAAAAGCCCAGGGACAGTGCCCAATCCCTGAGTTCAAGACATACAACTAGTAGAAAGAAAAGAAAGGCCCAGCGCCAGTGGTTCACGCCTATAATACTAACTACTCAGGAGGCTGAGATCTGAAGATCTCGGTTCAATGCCAGGGAGGGCAGGAAAGGCAGTGAGACTCTTATCTCCAATTAACCACCAGAAAACCAAAGTGGCACTGTGGCTCAAGTGGTGGAGTGCTAGACTTGAACTGAAGACATGAGGGACAGCACCCAGGCCAAGCCCCACAACCGAAAGGAAGGTTTTTCCAGGTTTCAAGGCAGTGAATATGTTCTACTATTAAATTTTAAGTCTATAACTTTAAAAAAAAAAAAAAAGCAACTGGCCAGAATGAGGACAAATAGAAACCTTTGTAAAATAACACTGCATCAAATTTGCCTACATTGGGGCTGGGAAGGTGGCTCAGTGGTAGAGCGCTTGCCTTGCAGGCCTGAGGCCCTGTGTTCGATTCCTCAGCACCACATAAGCAAAAATAAAAAAGTCGGAAGTGGCGCTGTGGCTCAAGTGGTAGAGCCCTATCCTTGAGCTGAGGGACAGCGCCCAGTCCCAGAGTTCAGGCCCCACAACTGGACCCCCCCACCAAAAAAAATTGCCTACATTTCTGTGAGAACCTGTGGAACGGGAAGTCCCGCCCCATGCTGACACCACCACCAAGCAACAAGCACGCCAGGCTGTTGGGGGTGGGGGCGGGGAGTCAAAGGGCAGTGTGTGGATGGGCCACCAGCTTTAGGAAGGAGGGGGTCCTGGGAAGGAGTGAGAGGTGAGAAGCCGTAAGAGACACGCAGGAACAGGCCTGAGGGGACCGCAGAGCCAGCAGAGA